GAGAGAGAGAGAGAGAGAGAGAGAGAGAGAGAGAGAGAGAGAGAAACCCTAACTAGCTAGGACACCCCCCCCCTCCTCTCAACCACCACCACCATCAAGAGTATTATCTGTCCCCATCAGTTTCATATCTGATCCGTGGTACATCGGGACCACTAAAAAAAATAAAAATCGAAATGGAAAATCCGCAAGGGTGCTCGAGACCATCGGAAAAAAAAAAGGAAGGAAAATCCATAAGAGCACGTGCACCGTGCCCGTGAGAGAGAGAGAGAGAGAGAGAGAGAGAACTTACTATGACMCCCCCCCCCCCTTCCGTACCATCAAGGGTATTATCGGTCCTGGTGAGTTTCATATCTGATCTGTGGTCCATCGGGAACCAGAAGAAAAAAAAGGAAACGGAAAAGCCGCGCGCGTGGGTTCGGGCAAAAAAACAAATAAAGGAGAGAGAGAGAGAGAGAGACCCTAACTAACTACGATCCCCAGCCCCCCACCACCACCATCAACTGTATTACCGTATCTGGCCCAATCAGTTCATATCTGATCCGTGGTCCATGGAAAGCATAAAAAAAGAAAAAAAAATGAAAACGGAAAAACCTCACGGGTTTGAGAGAGAGAGAGAGCGACACAGAGAGAGAGAGAGAGAGAGAGAGAGAGAGAGACAGAGAGAGAGAGAGAGAGAGAGAGAGAGAGAGAGAGAGAGAGAGACAGACAGACAGACAGACAGACAGACAGATGAAGAGAGAGAGAGAGAGAGAGAGAGAGAGAGAGAGACAGACAGACAGACAGACAAAGAGAGAGGGAGAGAGAGAGAGAGAGAAAGATTGAGAAGGAGAGAGAGAGAGAAGGAGAGAGAGAGAGAGTATCACTACCGCACTGCAGACCTCTTCTCACAGATTTTCTGTGTTATCTGCTCCACATCTCATTACCGCTGTGCTTACCAGGTGGGCAATGCATCCCAAAGGCCTGCCACGTGCCTGCCACGTGCCTGCCACTTGCCTGCCACGTGCCTGCCACATGCTTGCCACGTGCCTGCCACGTGCTTTCCACGTGGCAATGCATGCCATTCCGGCTCCCTACCACGTGGCAATGCATGCACTATGCCTGTGTGGCTGCATGGCTGCCACGTGGCAATGCATTTAATGCGCCTGACTGCCACGTGGCAGTGCGTCTCAATACGCCTTGTGTGCCTTTCCGCAGAAAAAGTGCCACACACCAGCACATGCGACCCCCTCCCCTCTGCCCCAAAGTGTCACACACTTGATTGCCACCGCAGCGCGTGGGACAGTGCAGCTTGCCTCACGCTTTCTTCTTTTCTTTTCCCAACTGTTTTTTTGCTAATCGCAGTAATCAAGAACCAACCCCTGTGAGCGACACGTGTCCATACCTCAGTGATCCGCACGTCACACAAACTGCCACACACACATACACACAGACACACACAGAGTCCAGGTTCAACTACCTGATGAGTCGGTGAAACTGCGACGGAACAGTCTGTCACAATCACCATTCCTTTTTTTTTTCCCCTTTTTTCTGGTCACCCTTTTTTTGTGAAGTTGGACTAAACGAATATACAACACACAAAAAAAAAAAGGGGGGG